TAGGCGGCCAGGCGTGGCTCAGCAGTTGAGCACTGACCTAGGATCCAGGCAATTGGGGTTTGATTCCCGGTCAGGGCACATTCCCAGGTTGCGGGCTGCAGCTGATCAATGACTTTCTCATCATTGATGTTTCTCTCTCTCTCTTCCTCTCCTTTCCTCTCTCTGAAATCAATAAAGATATTTTTTTAAAAAGGGGATGGGGTGGGAAGGAGATGCCATGTAAAGTCTCCAGCTTTCTGGCTTCTCTTGACAATTGGAGATCTCACAGTGATGGATTACCCATCTGGAAGGACAACATCAACTAGGACTTGGCAATGGATGTCCCTTTAGTTGGGGCACATGATTTCTGTCTACCCCTGTCCCCGCCTGTCCCACTTCACCATGTGTGTGACCTGCTCTGACCCTGGACACACTGGCACTTTTGGCTTCAGCTTTAAGCTGTGGTGGTGGGTAGGGTTTGGGGCCCACTCTTACTTTTTGATAAGAAGACAACTGGGTTTACACTACCTGGTAAATCCCACCTCCCCCTCCATACACCTCCCCTTCAGAAATCATGATGTATTCCGAGTTTGAGTTCAAATGATGATTGGGAGAGAATGATACATGAATATTTTCACATTTCTGCACAGTCCAGGCTTTCTGAGTAAAAAGCACTAGGAAGCTAGGCTAAAAGATGATTGAATATTAAACATGTTTTAGAAATGAGAGATGTTGTCTTGTTCCAGAGAGATTCAGAGGCTTCTTTCCTCAGGAGCTGTTTGCTTACATTCTAGGGTAATAAAACCCAGAGACACATTTCTGCCTCCTCCTGGAGACATTTGCTTACATTTCATAGTAAAGATCTGTCTTTCTTAGGAGAGAAAGGTGGGTAAAGTGCCAAACACTCTATATAAACTCTGAATCTCATAATTCCTGTGTTCATTCCTGTGGTGCAGCCCCACTACATGTACAGGTAAACATCTGGCTCTCGGCACGTTCCCTGTAAAACTGGGGTGTTGGCAGCTGGTGCGGTGATGCCCTGTGAGTAATAACGGCTCTGTTCTCTGATCCAGAGATCTCGTGTTTCCTGCCAGAATGTAATTATAAATATATATATCAATATATGTCTATATATTGATATATATAGATATATATATCTACAAAATCATACCATACCCACCGCCACATGGATTACACCTGAAATAACTCTTTTTTTTTATTGATTGATTTTAGAGAGAGAAGAAGGGAGAGAGAAGGAGGGAGAGAGAGAAACATCAATCTGTTGTTCCACTTATTGATTCATTCATGGGCTGATTCTTGTATGTGCCCTCACTGAGGATCCAACCCACAACCTTGGCATATCGGGACAAAGCTCTATTACTAAGAATATCTAAATTTTATTATTTTTTTCTTGTTATAGAGTTTTCTACCTCTGATATGAAGTACAGTAGCCGAAGAACTGAGGTATGATTAATTAGTTTTAGTGTCATTGAATACACCTAAGAACGTTTGTTGTTAGAGACAAACTTTATCAAAGAACTCAGAACCAAACTCCTCAGCTATTATTTCTTGGAAAAAAAGCAACAACTCACATATAGTTTATAGAGTAGCAAATAATTTCTGGGAAAATTGCAGTTCTCTCAACTGTCTAACTCTCCTGTATCCAGGAGCCTTTGAGAAAGTGCCTAGCTGCTGCTTATTGTTGTAAAAGGAGTTTATTGGCCTAAAAAAAAAAAAAAAAAGGCTGCTCTTAGGGACATGGTTAAACACTAGGAGAATCTGTCTTTATTTCCTGTTATTTTTGAGAGATGGGAGAAAATCATCTAGGCAATAAAACTGGGAGATTACACTGCATCTCACCTGATTCTAAAGCTTAAGTTTCTAGTGTCAGGATCCTTTTCTTTTCCTTTCTTCTTACACACAGGTGGCAACAGAATGAAAATGAAACACATAGCTCTCAATTACCACCCAAGATCCAGCCCATAAATATTCTGACATAATTAAGTATTAAATCTGTATACACAGGGAAAGGTCTCAATGAAAAGAAGCATAAAGAGTTTATAGCTTAATGACCTGAAAGCTGAATATTACATATTGGGTTACACTGACCTCTAGAGGTTGATAAAAGCAAAAACTAGCTTAGTTTGAAACCACTTGGAGGGCAAAGGAGAATTAAAATCCATCAGAGTTGCTAACTTTCAAGGGGATAGTGAGGCACATTTAAAAGCCACCTTCAACAGAACAGATCAGCAAAAACAATGAGGAGTAGCTGTGTTCTGGATACAAATTATGAGTTAGTCTGTAACTCATTAGTAAAATCAATGTAAACAGCAATTTTAAGCTATTCTAAGTGGGGATTGAAAAAATCTTACATCATCGGATAAAGGAAGTGAATGAATTAGCTAAAGAACATATATGCATAGGCCATGGATACAGACAGCAGTGTGGGGAGAGTCCAGAGAGTGGGGTAGGGCCTGGGGGGAGGTCGATAAGGGCATGGGGGACATCTTGCAATAGTGTCAACAATAATAAATGATAGATAGATGATAGATAGATAGATAGATAGATAGATAGATGATAGATAGATAGATAGATAGATAGATAGATAGATAGATAGATAGATAGATGACAGATAGATGATAGATAGATAGATAGGTGATAGATAGATGATAGATAGATAGATAGATAGACAGACAGACAGACAGACAGATAGATAGATAGATAGATAGATGATAGATAGATGATAGATAGAATCAATTAAAATTTTTAAAAAATCTAAGATCAATTCTTTGGAAAACAAAAGGAAAGAGAAGAGAAATAAAATGTCTCATCTTATATTTTTAATGTTTACATTATAGGGCCCTTCTTTTAAATGTGTAACCATGAATCTTTATGATAATCTTGGTTTTTTAAAGTATTATTTTACCTTGGTTCTAAAAACAAACACTGGGAATGAGCTTTTAGTTTTTAAATTTGTGATCTCAAGAATAGCTCTGTGCTTCCTAAGTACAAGGCCCTCCTAAAGAGAATCTTAGAATCTCTTCAAATTACTTTATTTTATTTATTTACTTACTTATTTTTAACTCTCACCCGAGGATATTTTTTCCATTGCTTTTCAGAGAGAGTGGAAGGGGGAGAGAGAGAGAAACATCGATGTAAGACACGTCGATTGGTTGCCTCCCACATGGGCCCTGACCAGGGCGGGGATTAGGCCTGCAACTGAGGTACATGCCCTTAGTTGGAATTGAAGCTGGGACCCTTCAGTCCGCGGGCCAATGCTCTAACCACTGAGCAAACTGGCCAGGGCTCTTCAAATTACTTTAAACCAGTTAACGTGATAAGCATATATGTTCCTGCATTCATTAGCTTTTTCTCTCTTTCCTTTTAGTTCCCTCTGCCACCACTGTCACTCTTGCCCATGAGACATGGTCTTCTTACTATCCCCCCAAATCACAAGGATCAAAAAGAGAGAGAAATAAATATCCCAAGTCTTGTATCTTTTGTGCCTAAGCTCTCAGAGCTGGTTACTCGATCTGATGAGTTTAGGCCATCAAACAAGCAACCAGAAGACTCGTTCAAGGTGTTTGTGGATCAGACTCTCAGGTCCTCTGATAGGTCTATTTGGTCCAGAAACATGTGCTCTTTTTGGAAGGCTAACCATCACAGACAACACCTGGAGATGGAGGCAAATAGGAAGCCTAAGGAGATGGAAGGAAGTGACAAAATTCAAATCTCTCACTTTGAAAAAAGTGACTCTTTGGTGTCCTTTGAGAATTTTAAGGAAGGCAATTTTCCTGCAGACAGGGAAGTGGATATCGACTGCCATGGTAGTGAAATGAGGAGAGCAAAAGAAGACAGCTTGCAATATCTTTCATCAGGAAAGACAGAGGGTTCTGTAGTCAGAAATTGTGAGTACAATTCAGACGCTGGATGTACCAAGCCAATCAAGTTCCAAGAAGCCCAGCATTCAGAAATAACTCTAAGCAAGGATAAAGAGACTGGAAATGATAAAGGTGATTCAAAAAGTGCTTTGGCACTTAAAGGTGAAGAAATTGAGCCAAATCATATTTTAGAAGAGTTTACTGTACTTAAAAGTTTGTCCAATGTAATTCCTGACAGCCCCATTGAAAAGCTGCCGGAAGGTCATAACAACATGGAGACAAATATAAAAATATCAATAGCAGAGGCAACCAAGCCAGAAATGAATGGGATAGTGCCCCTTATCCACATCACTTTCCCTGGAGACGAGACTCCCAAGGGACCAGCAGTAGCCCAACCAAGCCTCCAAAAAAGAAAGGGCACCCTTCATAATAACTATAGCTTCAACATACTTGCACACCAAGAAAATGACAGGCAGAAGATGGAAACCCAAAGAAATAAGTTAGATTCAAAAACCAAGACCAGTAACAGGACACCTCAGAATTTCATGATTTCCATGAAAGATTCCATTAAGCCTACCATGCATAAAACCAGCATAAAAACGCAAGTTTTCCCTTCTTTGGGGCTTGTTGACCCGAGACCTCAGCAATCACTCAAGTTTCAAAGGAGAATACCACAGACAGAAAAGAAACAATCAACTTACCGGGCTCTGAAGCCTAAAAAGCAATCATTTCCTTGCATCTGTAAAAATCCAGGAATAAAAAAATCTTCAGTTCCTCTCCCTGTTCAACCAACAGAGCCCAGACTAAATGATCTAGATCTTAAGTATAGTGATATGTTCAAAGAAATCAATTCAACTGCTAATGGACCTGGAATCTATGAAATGTTTGGGACCCCTGTTTATTGTCACATGAGAGAGTCTGAAAGGCATGAAAACAAATATTACCAAGAGATATGTTCAGCTCCATCAGGCAGATGTATCACCAGTAAATGTCGATCTTCACACAGTGAGAGGAGTAGCAACAGCAGAACAAAACCTTCTCAGAAAAGACCACATGTTAAACCCCCAAAGGCTTTGCTTGGAAATAAACACAAACACAAACGTTTAATTTCCAAAGAAAAGGGTTGCAAGGCTGTAGGTAGCAATCTACAAGACTTTGAAAATGGTGGTGGTATTTCAGAACCAGAGTGGCAGATGAAGCCTTCGGGAAATGATTTTCTGTTTTCCAAAGATGAAGTCCAGCCCATGAACTTTGCTCAGACTCATGAGCAGTCCATTGAACAGGACAAATTCCTTCCTGCCTCAGATTTGTCCATTGTTGAAGAAGTCTCTATGGAAGAGTCTGCCGACGAAGGAGACATTTCTAACAATCACATACTTGCCACGAGCCTCAGAGATCTGCATGAGCTTGAAGAGCTACATCACCAGACCTTGCTTTTCCTTTCAGAAAACAGCAGGCCAGTGCCCAGTGATGAGAGTTTGAACAAGCATGTACCACAAGAAAAGCAGAATACGGTATCTCTTGGTAAAATAAATGCCAACCAAATTTTAATGAATGATGTAGAATTTGACAGTTTGATAGGTAAGTCTGAAACACTTATGAATTGCTCTTTCAAAGAGAAACAAGGAAGCGCATCTTCCCAAGCATATCAACATTGGGCACATTCTTTTGACCATGGTAGTTTAGCTAATAAGTCAGTTACACATCAGATGTTTGGAAAAACTTTAAATGAAGCAAATTCAATTTCCCAAGACATTCTTGACTCTATAAAGAGTGAAGAATTGACAGATGAACTATTAGGTTGTCTAGCTGCAGAACTATTAGCTCTTGATGAGAAAGATAACAACTCTTGTCAGAAAATGGCAAAGGAAACAGATCCTGAAAACCTACATCTTGTCTTCGGTGAGAGAGGTAATACCATGGGTGGAGAGACAACAAATGTCAAAATACAGGTTGGTATAATTAGAATCAGTGATTTAATTGGGGTGGGAGAGGACCCCAGAGACAATCTGGCTCAAACCCCTTATTTTCAAATAAGGAATCAGAGATCCTAAACAATTAGATAGTTGTGTCCAGGTCTCATTGTTAGGTTGCAAGTTTGGAATCCAGGTCCCTGACTCTCAGGCTAAAATGTTCTCATCATGCTGCTTTACTTCTGGAATTTCATTGGCCTGACACTACAATGGAAACATTTGGGGTATGTTAATAAGGCAAAACTACTTATTTAAAGAGGTCAGTATTTTATAGTGATGGTTTTCAATCAACAAATAGCAGCAGCGAGATAATTATGGTTAAAGCATTGGTCTCTGGTGTGTGAGTAGAAAGAAATTAACATGGTCCTGGAGTGGCTCACCATCTAGTTCACTAGTTCACCACGAAAATATTGGTGATGGCTACTGTGTCTCTGGCACTGGGCTAAGAACGAGAGACATGTTGGGATGGGTACAACATGTTCTCAAGGAAGCATACGCCATGATCTTGAAAATAATTTTTTTTAATGTTTGGCATGGGACTGGGGGCACAGAGTGTCAACAGGTAGTTGGGTTTGTTTGTTTGTTTAGTTCTCACTGAAGTGCGTGAGCCCACGTTTCTGTTCTCAAATTTTAGAAACAGAAACAGTAGGTTTAGCTGAAATATTACTCATTGAGAGTTAACTCAGATTATGTCACGCTATACCAGGATCTAGAATATTATTTTAAATAGTCGATCAGAGCAATACACTCGATAAATAACTGGGTTTATGGGGAACTTACCATGCCTGAGCGAAGTGCGACATGCTGCTTCCTTTGCATGCTTTGTAACAGCTCTGTGAGATAAGCTCCAGAGGCGCTGTGTTGCGGTCCCCATGCTGCAGATGAGGAAGCTGAAGTGTAGAAAATCACCCAGTTAGTGAACGGTGGGGCCAGGCATTCTGACTCCAGCCTCACACCTTTAATCGTGTCCTAAAAGGCCAGCTCTGCCTTCCTGGTGATCTTGGTCTCCGCTGGGAAGAAGAGAGTGATTCAGAGAGGCCTTCAGGCTGGGTGGGAAATAGGGGTATGTATGTGCCGGTGTGTCTGAGATGGGTCTACCACTCTGCCATTTCAAACTGAAGAAAAGCTAACAAGCTGGTAAATAGAATCAGTCATAACCCCACCTTGAAATCATGGAGTCAAAAACTGACCTTTTGTGACCTTTTCTTTTTCATGCAGTTCTTAAATTTCAGTTTGGATAGAGAAACGTGAGAGAATGGGGAGGAGGAACCCAGATGGCCCTTTGGCGGCATGCATGCTCCTTTGTGAGGAAGGTGATCCTACAGGAGGCTTGTTCATAAAGGGCCTTTGCCATGCCTCTGCATCACCATCATCATTTATTTTTAAGGACTTGTAAAGGAGACCAAATGCTTTGTTAAGCATTTTTGGTCATGATCAACCAGTTGGAAAACATGGTCTAAATTCTACAAAGGGATACTTGTTTCCTCCCTCCTAGGGCGGGGCCTCTCACAGTTTACTGTGAATGCATATCTCTTGGGGATCGTGTTAAAATGTAGACACTGATTCAGTATGTCTGAGGCCTGGGATTCTGCATGTCTGACAAGCACCAGGTGATGCTGGTACAGCTGGTCTGCAGGTGTGACCTGATCAGAGGCTGTTGGCTGGGGAAGCTGTCGGCGGACTAACTAGAAGGGGCAGCCTATGTGATTAGTTAGGGGCGCATATTTGGCTTTCTCTACTTAGTTTGTCCTGAGTTAGAAGACAGGAAGACTCTCCTCCCCACCTCTTTTCTCCACCCCAAAGACTCAGTTTTCTGGTGACTTTTCTTTTTGTCTCATTCTTCCAGAGACATAGTAATGGGTTCAGAATATATGACAATGAGACATTTCTCAATGAAAAGAAGATATTTTCTGAAAATAGTTTAAAGTATGAAGAATCTATCCTGTGGACCAAGGGTGATATCCTTGGGAAGGGAGCCTACGGCACAGTAAGTTAAATGGGAAACAAGGTAAAACCAAAAATCCCTACTCCTCCTTGACCCCTCCCTCTTCTCTAATGCTCTGAGCGGGCCCTTCCCTCCCCAGCCCCCATCAGATCTTTTATTTAGAACAATTTCAGTTGGGAGTAACAGGAAACCCACCCAAACTAGCTTAAGGAAAAAGCGGCTCACTGCTTTACATAATGGAAGGATCTGGAGTAGGTCTGGCTCTGGGCACAGGTGGTTTCAGGGGTGAAACAATGTCATCAGGATCTGGGCTCTTTAATCCCTCCTTCCGGCTCTCATTCTCAGGCCCATGTGGTGGTACAATGGCCATTGCATTTCTAGCCTCTCAGTCTCCTAGGTTTAAGTCCAGTGGGAAAGGAGTCTCTTTGTTCAGCAGCTCAGAGTATGTTACCAGAAGTGGGGAGAATCATTGCTGAGTGGCAGAAACAAAAGATGTTCCTTAGATTTTGTGAATTGCAAAAAAAGATCACTTGAAGTCCTAGCACTATTGATAGTATTTACATAGATGGGTAAAGAGAAGACTGTCCCCCAGATACAGCATGTTGCGCTTCTAGCTGGAGACATTTGAGGACGTGGCAGGGGTGACTGCTGAATTTTCTCAGGACCTGCCTTCCTCTCTCTCCTTAGAGCTTTAGCACTGAAATAGCCCCATTGTACTTATTACATGATGATCTTTCCCAAACCACCATCTCATGTAATCGTCGTAGATATCTGTGAAGTACGTACTGTTACCTCAGCTTTATAGATGAGAAAAAACTGAAGTAAAAAATGTTATACAACTTACCCAACTTACACAGCTGGGGATGGGTGCAGTGAGGATTCTACCCAGCCAGTCCAGCCACTTGACTCCAAGCCATTGTGAAAGCCATTCGCCATGCTGCTCATCCCCATCTGGGCTCCATGGAAACACTGGGNATTGTGAAAGCCATTCGCCATGCTGCTTATCCCCATCTGGACTCCATGGAAACACTGGATTATATTTAATCATAGGTATTGGTTTGCTTCTAGGTATATTGTGGTCTCACTAGCCAAGGACAGCTAATAGCTGTAAAGCAGGTGGCTTTGGATACCTCTGATAAATTAGCTACGGAAAGAGAGTACCGGAAACTGCAGGAAGAAGTAGATTTGCTCAAAGCACTGAAACATGTCAACATTGTGGCCTACCTGGGGACATGCTTGGAAAAAAACACGGTGAGCATTTTCATGGAGTTTGTTCCAGGTGGCTCCATCTCTAGTATTATCAACCGTTTTGGGCCGTTGCCTGAGATGGTGTTCTGTAAATACACAGAACAAATTCTGCAAGGTGTTGCTTATCTCCACGAGAACTGCGTGGTGCATCGAGACATCAAAGGCAATAATGTTATGCTCATGCCTACCGGGGTCATAAAGCTGATTGACTTTGGCTGTGCCAAACGTTTGGCCTGGGCTGGCTTCAGTGGCACCCACAGTGACATGCTCAAGTCCATGCATGGGACTCCGTATTGGATGGCGCCGGAAGTGATCAATGAGTCTGGCTATGGGAGGAAGTCGGACATCTGGAGTGTGGGCTGCACTGTGTTTGAGATGGCCACGGGGAAGCCCCCGCTGGCGTCCATGGACAGGATGGCAGCCATGTTCTACATCGGTGCGCACAGAGGCCTGATGCCCCCCTTACCAGAGCGCTTCTCAGAGAACGCCGCGGACTTCGTGCGCGTGTGCCTAACCAGGTAAGAGGCTGAAGGCAGGAGGAAGGTGCTGCCCAGAGATTTCCAGCAGCTGACATTTCCCCTGCAATTTCTGGCCCATTCAAACCTCCGCTGGCGCTATGAAGATCAGGTAGGGAGTGATTTTGTGCAGAAAGGAATCATTAGCCATTCTGGGTGATTGCCTGCCTTGTTGTGTCAGGGTCCAGGGGGGCTATGCTTCAAGCAGAAAGTGCCACAATTAAATGTCCTATCAGGTCCTAACAATTCTTCCCCAATTCAACAGGTACGTATAAAAGTTGCTAGACATCTACTTACCTACTTACCTGGGACACCTCTCCAGGGACTGGCCAAGGTGAAATGACATCACCTGTGCTTAGGTTTCCCTTTCCTCTCAGGGAACCATGTTCTCATTTCCTTCCTAAAACCAGCTCTCAGGAAAGTGTGTGAGAAATTCATTCATATAGTGGGCTTGATATGGATTGATTGATTGATGACTGATATTTATTGTATTGGTTCCCCCAGAAATACTTGCATTTAAAGTGGGGGTAAACATTTGGAGCCAAAAGAACAGGTTCCTAATTGGAGCATTTCAAGCATCAAGTGGGGCGATATTTTGGGAAGCAGAAAAGCCCCAATAAATTGCCTTTTTCCTGTTTTGATGCCCCCTGGTATCTATGGAATGAGAGAGAGACATCAATGAGAGAGAAACATCATTGATGCGTAGCCTCCTGCACACCCCCTACTAGGGATCGAGCTGGAAACCAGGGCATGTGCCCTGATAGGGAATTGAACAGCGACCTCTTGGTTCCTAGGTCGACGCTCAACCACTGAGCCACACCGGCTGGCAAGCTTTTTTAAAAAAATAATTTTACTTGTGTATAAGTTATACCCCAAACAAACTGAACAAAACCACAATGTGAAAAACAGGGCCTACTTTTTAATCTTAATAGTATTTTTTTGAACAATTACTATGTGCCAGACACTGTTTAAAAGCTGCATATACATTATTACTGTTACCCTTATTTTACTGATAAGGAAAGCGTTTGCGTCACTTGCCTAAAATCACACAGCTGAAAACCAGACTGGACTCAATCCATGTTTGACTGGCGGAGGTTGTACTTTCATCTTAAAGTTGGCATTTTGAGTCAAGTATATCTAGTTGGCATGCACATTTTGGGGTGTTGCTTCTAATGTGCTTTTCCCTTCCTAGGGACCAGCATGAGCGACCTTCCGCTGTTCAGCTCCTGAAGCACTCCTTCTTGAAGAGAAGTCACTGAAAATACACCAGCACTTTCTCTCCAGTTCCATTACAGATAATGTTACTGCTTCATTTTGGGAACGATGGTTGAAGGACCTTTGTTTTCCTACTGGAAAGTCAATCTAACCCAATTTAACAAGATTCTACAGGGTCACTACTGCAGTTTGTTACATATTAGTCTCTTCAAGCTCCAGGCACCATTACTTAGGTGGATGAAAAAATTTTCTTAGTAACAACAAAAAAACCTATTCCAGTATTTACAGTTTTGACTATCCAGGAACTATAATCTCTATTGCTTATACTATATTTCTTTTTATTTTTGTCCTGTCAATTTTAATGTCATTAGTTTAAAATAAATTGTAGAAACAAGAAAATTGTAATTAATTGCCTGGTAAGTAAAGGCACATTTTTTACAGAAGACTTGAGAAAGGTGAGGAGTTAAAAGTGGAGAGGCACTAGGTTCTGTTTATTTTGGCCTCAGTCTTAACCTTGCAGGTCATAGGAGCTTCAAGGTTAACAGGAAAGGCTAAGGGCCTTGGTATTTCATTATTGGAGGTCCCCAAACTCCTCTGAAGTCTTCACCTACAAGAAGCTGGGTTATACAAGGTGGCCTCATAAACGTCAGGCTGCTTTCCCTGCAATTTATAGTATGATTTAGGTCTTAGGTTGTTTTCAGAGTGACTTAGGTCATTGCCACATCTAGAAGCAGCTAAACCTAAGCCAGGTGGCGGGATAAAACAGGACTGAATAGGGGGAGAATGGGTCAGCACATACAGCTTCCCAGGGCACTCTGCTCCCCTCACTTGAATGAAGGGCATCCCCACTTAGGTCGCGCCTCACCTTCATGTCCCAAACATTGCTCTGCCTCACAGAAATGAACACGGGCAAGTTGTCAAAGTTACTACAAGCTCTTGTTGTAAGTTGGTGGACTAAGCACATTTGATAAGGTTTCTATAGCTGTCAGCTCCATTAATTGACACCTATTGTTTTAGTTACGTATGTAGATTTTTTTTAAAAAAGCTGGTTAGCATTTCAACATGGTACAACTATAAACTTTAGGTGTATTCTAACACCAGTTGTCAGACTTTGTTAAAATCAAGCTGCTGCTTTAACTTTTTGAGAAATGAATGTGAAAGGTAGTCCAGCTGAGGTAAAACGGGTTTTACTTTGGCCAACATGCTGAGACAGGTCTTTGTGGGTATACCTTCCTTCTCTCCAATTGTACAGTTTTCTCAGATTTGATAGGAATTTAAGGGATATGTCCCTTACTTACAAGCATACCTCATTTTATTGCGCTTTGCTCTATTACCATTTCAAGGATGTCACTTTTTTTTTTTTTTTTTAACAAATTGAAGACCCTCCACCAGCAGAAAGTTTACAACTCACTTCATTGCAGTGCTTTGGAACTGAGCCTCAGTATCTGAGTTACGCCTGTACTTGTATACCAACATAACCTGAAACATTTTGTTAAATTAGGGCTTAAATTTTTAAAAAGTTTTAGTTGGGATTTTCAGTATTCTTTAAAATCTGGTTATCTCTTATTTTGAAGCAATTATTTACATCCAAGCCTATTAAACCATAAGGGGAAAGGGCAGGGAGTAAGATGTTTATACTATGTATACAAATCACAGTAATGGACACATGCCTTTGGTGTTGACAAACCTACCCCTCTTTTATTGATATAGAACAGTTTTACAATATTAAAGAGAAGCTTCAAAACTTTCAAGTTTCAATAGACCAGTCTTGGTTTTAAAAGCTTTCTATTTTGTTGGTCAGCGTGTTTAAGACATAACAGACTGGAATCCTGCTCTTATCATCGCCCAGGTATTTGACTCCGTTATAGCTTCCTTAATAGGAAAAGGGTCTGGAAGGACACTGGAAGTGCAGATAGGTGGGGGTTGGGAGGGCTAGCACTCACCGAGCCCTTTTAGAAAAGGCACATCACTTAATTCTGGCTGCTGTTTGGGTTGGTAGGTAGTCTTCTTATTTTATTAATGAACAACTGGGCTCAGAGCCAATTTCCTAAGGTCATCCAACTGGTAGGTGGGAGTTAGGACTGCTACCCAGATTTGTCTGACTCTAGAGCGTTTTCCCTGCTGCCTCCCAGATTCATGGTTTATAAATCAATTATATCATTAAATTACACTCAAACAAAACTCCACTGGGATGCTGATAAACCCACCAGTAAACTCCCCAAGTAAACGTCTAAAAGTAGTTCCAGCTCTACAGCACTTGTGGCCATTTCTCAGTGGCTGAATTAGGAGTTGCCATAGTGGGAGGGAGCTCTAGAGTACTGGGCTGGGGAATACGCCGTATTCCAGGTGGTTGCTTTATCCAGTCCCTCCTGCAGGAGACTGGGCCTTCCACAGTGTAACGAGTAGCTCTGAGATGAACCCACTCCATATGCCCAACAAGCAGCCAAAAGCCTCCTCGCCTACTGGCCTGTCTTTATTCCTCATACTTGCTGCACATGTATGAATTTAAAGTAACTTCATAATGTAGAAACTTGCATTTAAAAAGGCTTCCCAGGTGACCTGTGAACTTTAAAGCACCCAGCGTTGATAGCCTAACATCCTCACTGGTTCTCAACAAGGTTAACACATCCTTGTGTATGGCACCACAGGAAGAAGCTGGGATAGCAAACGCTCCAGGGAAGGCTGCCCAAACTTGTGGAAAACCACCAGGCTGATGTCATCCCTAAAGCAGTTGCTACTACAGGTTATGACTTGAAAGACTAAAAAAACCGATCTCAGGTATATGTCTGGACATTTCTAAGGTCTAAATAAGCTTAATTTCATGGCAAAGTGATAGAAACTCTCATTAGTGAGGTCCTACATTGCTTTGGGAGGTGGAGTATGGGGAGGGAACAGGCAAGCACATATAGTAGTTAAAACAAAAATGTACAATTTTTTTCATTATATGGAAAACAGCAGAAGGAAAGTGAAGGAAGAGACAATGGAGTAGGATGAATCACTAAACGGAATTACTAAGTTTGGTTAAATGTAATTACCGGCTTTGTACCGTTTCTAAATAAAACGTATGCAATTTATTGTGTGCTCAGGAAATAAGCCCTTACTCATATTATCAACATAAGATGAAGACAAACCTTTTCACGTGATTTCAAAACATTTATTTCGCATTTAGGCTTAAAATGCATTGTGGAGGAAGTAACTTTTCTACTACCTAGTTCTGTTATTAAAGCCATGCAAGGCTTCCAGTCTCTGAAGTGGGAGGTACAGGCAAGGCCGTGGGGGTGGCTGTGGGGGAGGGGGCTGGAGAAGAGCAGCAGTACTGAAGCAGTTTATGATTAGAATTTTTCTGGTTAATTCTCCTTCCATATAAATGCAACTACTTACTCTTTGCTTTTTGTGGAGGTGATGCAAGAGGTTAAACAGGAAAATTCCAAAGTATGAATGAAAGTGAACAACTTAAGTCTATAAACAGAGGCATGCAGTGTTTAAGTTTAATCCGCCAGGACTGGCCTTCATCATTCCCTCTAATATCCAAAATATATACCTCTATTAGGATGCTCTTCTGTGTCATCTATTCTCTTTATATACAGCCCTTCCCCATCACCCAGGCCTTACCCCTCACACCCTACAATAGGTACCATCACCAACATTTTGGGGAAGAGAGTGGTGAGGCCAAGACCAGACTGCGGACAATTTGACCCCCGAGGCCGCACTCCATGATGGTGTCTGAAGTTACTCAGAGTAACTTATATTAATAGAGACCTTATTTCCCACGGACTGAAAGTTATTTCTGATTCACATTAACAAGACATGTTAGAGCCTTGGATTTATGTTGTCAATACACAAATTTTATTAATTCCTTGTAATAGATACTGAGCTGAAATTCAATGACTAATTGAATTCATGCCATATACACATATTCCTGTTTTGGATTTTCTATCAGCAAACATCCCATCAAGAGTCCTTGGGGGATTCAGAAAATGAAATCCCAGTCATTGTTGACCACAAAATGAGTACATGTGAAGTTTTTCAAACCGAGTGAAACTGCTTGAAAAACACACCTTAAAAATAAGGATGTACTCATTAACAGGCCAATCAAGTTAAATCAACAACTGAACAGGTTTTAAGCGAGTCTTCCCTCAAAAACTTGGAAGTAAAGGAAATTAGACAGCCTTCAGAATTTACTTTTGAGACTAATGGATCACAGTGAATGAGTTAAGTCACCTTTATAAGAACAAAATTGCTCCTAGCCGCACAACCTTCCACGGGCCTTGCTTACCAACCTTCCTAAAGAACCTGTCAGGTAGCAGACGCTGGTAAGTTACACAGGACAGAAAAAGAGGAGCCACAGGAGCAAAGGCCAGCTGCGCCCAACTCTACAGCGTGGAGGAAACGGATGCGCGGTCTCAGACTGAAAACACTGAGCATCCCAGACCACTGGCTATGAAGATGTTTCAGAGGCAAACTTCTCTTACAAAACAATGTGTCAGCCCACAGTGATCAAATTTCAGATGTTAACATAGCCGAATTTTGAATTTTCAAATGAACACATTTGTACAGTAAATTGGCAGCCTGGGTGGCCAGGGACAGAATGTGCTTTTCCAATGTAAAAATCCGTCTAAGTCAGCCCATTATATACAGATGGGCACATGAGACAGCAAGATGTCTATAAAAATTACCTAGCAATTTAAGCACGGTTCTAGGTGAGAAACGACTGCTTTCAGTTTAGATAGTCTGGGAAGAGTGAGATTATCTTGAGAATAGGACCATCTTCCTTTACAGATAATACCAGGTTTAAAAAACACCTTCCTTATTTCCATAAAATGCGAAGCCCTAAAATCTCTCATCAACCAAGGACTTAAAGAGTAGGTAACAGTCGTTCACTTACAAGCAGTGGTTTATTTCTAAGGTTGGCTGAGGGATAAAAATCAGCAATTTAAATGGTCAAATATAACAAAAATGTGCTTAAAATGCTTTTAAGGCAAGGCATTCAGTAACAAAAAACATTTTAAATTAGTTATCTAAAGTAGACCTCGACTAGTCATTTCTTTAAGTTCCAAGGGGACAGACAGGCCAAAATTAAGGTATCTTACCGACAAGCTGATAATTCTGATATCCTAATTAAATTACAGCAGGCTGGAGGGTGGGAGCAACAGGAAGTCAGGTAACAAACAGAACCTAGGGCTGAAACCAGAGACTTCCTGTTCCTGAATGTATGTTGAAACTGAACTCCCAGGTAGCGATTCCTGATTATCTAGGGAACAGCCATCACCTGAGGATGCCTCATCCTGTTTATACACGAATATTCCAGACTGTAGCCCACAACCAATACAAAAGCAACAAGTTTCCCTCACAGCCTGTCTTAGAACTGTCCCTGCTTCACCTTTTCCAGCCCCGTTATCTAGAGCCAATGTGAATTCTTTCATAACAACTTACACCTTTCTTCCCCAAACTCATTGTATGACAGAGCCCCACCCACTCTAGGATGGCAGCATAGAGCCCTGCGGTTGGTTTAGGGTGCACGTCCCAGGGCCTGGTCCTTACTCTGGCTAGCCCTTTCTTTCAAAAAATCTTTTGGCATTGAAGATTCTTAACATTACATAATTATAATCTGTTGGTCCAAAGGAAAGTAAGCACCCCTCCGCAAAATTCTGCATAAAACCAGGCATCACAGTAGAAATTTTCTTGGGACTAACCAGAATATACTGCATATTCACAGGAAGACCCAGATGCATCTATAAATACACTCAAAGATCAACTTAGGGGAGATTACATGACTTTTCAGTATTTAAAAACCTGCATAAGAAATGAACCTTAGGTTAAACAAGAAAAAGGAACTAGGATTTTTCCAAGGTCTTATCAGTAAAAAATACTACTGCCAGTTTCGTAAAGCAGGCCTCCAGGAATATTTCTGTGAAAAGATACTCCTTTGCTTTGGTTCTGAAAATACTGTATCTTAAAGTAGCTAAGGCAAATATTTAGGGGGCACAGCTCAATATTGGAAAATTAGTTGAAAGAGGTAGAAGTAAAGCCTTTGTATGTAATGTGCTTCTGCATAAAGGTAACTATCTATGATCTTGGGAAAACACAACTAAAAAATGAATCACTCTTTTATAGGCTGTTTAAAGATAATGCTTTTTAATATTTCAAATATTTTTAAAAATCTCATCAAAAATGTTTCACCTTAACAGTACTTTGCACATGTGGAATTTCATACCTAAATTTGAGGATATTATTTTGGTTTACTTATGGCTACTTACAAGAAGACTCAGTAATAATGTCCATTCACTGGAGTCTTTTTCTTTGGTTGAGCCTATTGGGACCAGGCTGAGGAGATGGCTAAAGCAAATTCATGGTAATATGAATTTTAAGGATTTTCACTGAATGGAATAAAAAGGATTTCCATATTTATCCCCACTGTGGTTTTGGAAGCTAAAATCCTGTTCAGAGGTTAAAGAGTTTGAACAGCTCACACAATCCTGTAAAAATTACAACTGGCTGCTCTTTAATAAATAAAGTCATTGTAAAGATTTACATTTACAGAGTGAAAAGTGAATACATAGCATTTTAAATTCAATTTTGGAAGTACTAATAAGTACTGACCCATAACAATATACACTAGCTACCTTTTAAACTGTCCATCATTAGCACCAATAAAGATTCAACAAAATTACCTTTATTCCCACATCTCAAACAATTCTGCAAATTCTTTGTGAAGCTTAAGTATAGTCACAGACCTTAAATATTCACATTGTTTTCTATGTCATACTGAAAATAAGTTCACTAATTTTCTGGATATTCTTTACAAAATCTTATTAAAATTCCTGGTATTATCATCCCTAAGCATACAGTAGCACAACCACCCTATGTAGTTTCACATGATAGTTCCTTAGAGGTTTCACATCTAAATTATCAAGAACAAAACCCTTCCCTCCCTCATTCTGCACTCAGCTTAATTCTATATACTAGTCCTTGGATTATGTACCACTGTCAAAGTATAACTGTATCAAAATTATCATGTTTGTGGATACAATAATATGCCATACAGAACAGTTACACATAATGACAAAGATTACTAAAGTTATGCAAGACAAGAACAAATGTTAGGACATGCTAGCTAGGCAAAGTCCCTAGAAAGAGGCTCCTAGTATTGTAAATTCAAATAACATTGACAAAATAACCAACAATTATCTTTAAAAAATTATAAAGCTACTGGCAAATTAGGTAATTGCTAAATAAAAGTAGAGCACAAGATTAAACTCTAATATTTACAACTGCAACATACTTGAGTAAAATTACAATTGTGCACATATCAGTGGCTTTAACAAAAATAATTCATATACATAGAGGAAAAATGAAGACAGCTTTCAGTTCAAAGGAAGTTGAATTCAACCCATCTCAAAGATACTCAACAGCTCAAAGATTTACCACAGAATAAATACAAGACTCACTGATAAACTGGAGCCATATTACTGGTGTTTAAGACAAATTTTAAACAAGTTCATGTTTACCGCTTATTCAGAAGTCAGACGACTGTGCCAATTTGCCCCCAACAGGAATATACTGAGATGTGCAAACAAATGTAAACCTCCACTAGCTGTCTACCTGGAGGATGACCATCTTTTTCTCAGAGGTTCCCGATAAGCTATAAATACAGGTACAATGCACAGTGATCTTTTCTTTTTATTTATTGTTAGAATATAAAAGAACTGAGAGAGCAATAGGTTTAATTTTATTTTTATAAGGAAGACTGAATTTACCTGAAAAAGAAATATGGCATCACACACAAACACGCTTCAGGGGAGGAGTATGTTTAAGAATATGGTGTCATTCTGAATGCTAAAGGAAATGATCCCTGTTTACTGTTAAACTACGTAGTGTTAAAGTTCTTTATTTAAGAAGAAAAAACTTACTAATTTTTCACTATGTACGTCTTGTGACTTTAGTTTTCAAATCACAGTACTCTACATAACCATTATTAACAGCTCTGCTACAGCACTGCAACAGACCCACACACATTTAACTGCACTTCACAGCAAGAGTGTGTAAACTTCATTTTTTCTTCTTCAAGCCTTCAGAAAACTAGGGGCTATTTCAGCAGCCAATCTGGTCAGAACCTCTGAAGGCAGAAGTTCAGTGCCTCACAGTGTAGTGACCATGTGTGGCACTGCATACCCATCTGGTAGTGAATGTCCCCCTTCAGAGGCTTCCAGTAAGGCCTAGAGTTTAAGGTTAACATGAAAAAGTGCCGCCTTTGTTTTAGATTAGTGATGGACTCTGACGAGATAAAATAAAGTTATTCTGTATATTGTTATACTTACAAGCAGCTCCAATCCTGAGTATTTATGGTAATATCTAAACATACAAAAATGTATGTACATTTTTCTCCACTTTCTTGTAAACAGTTTTCAGTATACTGTTTTATCCCTTTAACACTGAAACATGCAAATCATACATACAAGTATAAATACACAAAAGAAAACAATTTACACTCATTCAAAAGCCAAGCAACAAAAAAATAAGATAGCTACAGTATTCAAATTATAAATAACGAATGCTTGAGGCATATTATATTCCTAGAAGCAGCCAGCCATTCATCCTAATGTTCTTAGCTGCAATTGTAGAAATACTGAGTTTTGCACCTTCCATGCTTTTACAGTATTTATAACACTATCATATGTGGAGAGAAAGACTTGTTTACTATAATCTCTTCTTTTAAGAGAATAAAGCAGCACTTACAAATATTGAAACAGTGGCAGCAACAGCAGGTGTTACCACTGCTAGATCAGGAGGATTCCATTCTAACAATTTTTAAATTAAAAAAGTAAAGGAAAAATTGACCTAAACAAATGATTACATGTTCATTCCTTGGGCACTTAACAGCGAGTCCAGCATGTCGTATGTGTCTTTGTAGTCCATATGCTGGCTGTTTGTACTGTACTCGTGATGGACATCAGGACCGTTGGTCTCCACTGGCTTCTTGTCCAGTTTCACGAGGGTGCTGAGATGTCCGTAGCCCACCTGGTATGTGACAGGGGGAGGAGGGGGTAAGGGATGGTTAAAAACAGAGTTGTGAGAGGATATATACTGCTTAACAGAGGAGGAAGAACTAGATGAACTACCTGAACTTTTGGAACTTTTGCTCATTTTGGCGTGATGGTTGTGAGATGCATCATTGACATGCAGCTTCTTCCTTGAAGAGCTGGAACTAGAGGAAATGCCATCACTGCTCAGGCCAACAGGACTCCTCAGAACAGTGGGCGGCGCTCCATCGGAGCTGTGTTTACTGCCGCCACTGCCGCCGCCGCTGTGCGAGTGGGAATGCTTGTGACTGCTGGGGTGGTGGCGGTTTGAGGGATGTTCCTTGTGTTTTTCTTTATGGTCTCTGCTAATGTGTGGGCTGGAATGCTTGCTCTTCCCACTACCTTCATCAGAAGAGCTGTGCCTTTCTGAAGAAACTTTTATCTTCATTTTCAGTTCTTCTTTACTGGCACTTTTATCAGAGGGTGGTAATGGGATTCGTAATTTCAATGATCCACTTTTTTCCTTCTTATCTACCATATATTTTTCAGGTTTTTCTGCATTTGTGATGGGAATTTTCATTTTAATGGGAGAAGTTACAGAGCTGCTGCTGGCTGCCTGTGACTGCACATGTTTGTGTTGCTGTTCTGCCTGGGCAGCTATATAATGATCCCTGACATCCAGATCAAGGGATTCTAGCTTACGTTTTTCTCTGTATTTATCTAAAGACATCTTCTGAGGAATAACTCCAGGAGTAGCAGAACTTGGTCCATGGTGCTTACTGCTCCCTGCTTTATGAGTATACTCTTGCTTAACAGAAGAATGATCAGAAATTTTGTCAGGTCTGTGATGTAATCCTGAATGCAGTGAGAGAGAAGGTCCCTGCTGGAAGTTGATGTTATACTGGCTACCAGACAAAGATGTCTCCTGTTTCTGTGAATATATCTGTTCTGTCCTTGCTGGTTCTTGATGTTGAGGCCATTCTTGGTGTGATGACAAATTGTATGAGGTACTTGGCATTCCTGTTGCTAGCATTGACAAATTATCAGACGTATGGCTGTCTTGAGCAGAAATATTTCCTGAATTCAGAGGTACTGGTGCAGGGAATGCTGACGTAGACGGTTTCTGAAAACTTGGGTTTGTCGGCACACCAGTAACACTATCTACTAAAATGGAATTCTGGACCAAAGATGAACCAAGAAGTGGTGTTTCTGATACTTGTCCATCTACTTTTGGTTTCTTAGCCGCTGCCTGATTAGCCTATTTAAACAAAACACAAAAGAATCAATGACAGCAAAGGAATTTAATACACATTTCTTTGCTTATAGAAATTCTGTATTTATAGGTATAAAACAAGGCTAGAGAATGTGAAAGCACTAATTTTGGAATTCGATACAGGCTAAACCCTAGCCTAGCCATTTGAGAAAGTAACTGGTCTAGGCTTCAACTTCCCCATTTGTAAGAAGAGAAGACTATTTCCATCATTGAGAGATTTATAAAAAATTTATAAAACACTTGGCAAAGTCCACTGGACACAGTAGCTGAATAAACTATGTGTGTATGTAGCTTATAATACACTGTAATTACTTAGGAATACTGGAAATAAGAATACTTAACCACAAAAATTCAAACTGGTTAGCTATGTAATTGTTAGATAAATGACAAATTGATAGTCTATTAAACCCTGCCAATCTCTTACCCTCCAGTTTCGAATCCTCTTCAACCTATTAGGCGTTTTCTCCAGTATCTGTAGAAATTCATGTGTTAACTCTAAAAATAAAATTTAAATTTATAACTTAGAAGGTGCCTTTAGGATTTAAACTTCTCTCAAGTGGGCAACATTAAAAAGGGATCTCAACAGTTCATCTAGTCCACCAGCACCCTCTTATTCAACCTTCAGCATTTATAGAATAGACACAGCTCTGAATTCGTATTTTTAAAGAAAATCACCCCCCACCCCAATTTTATGTGCTCACTCAGAATCTCTGGAAAACTTAGTAGCATTAAAAAATATTCCCCCAAAACAGAAATCTCCACTAGATAAAAACAATAGTAGTAATTGTTGTAGGCAAGGTCTACCAACAGATCTTATCAACGTGATATATCACTGATAAAATGCATTTCTACGGTACTAGGGTCCTCAGTTGCAACAGATGTAAACCCTATTTTCCATTACCTTCATATTTTGTGAACAAAGTTGGGGAAAGCCCACAAAAAGAATAAGCTGAAAACCCAACATACCAGTTTAGGCATATGTATTAAGTAAGAGCAAGATTTCCTGTCTGAAATCTAGAATACATGGCTAAAATGTATTAATCTCCAAGAATCTCCTACCTCTGGCCAACTTCTCTTATTTCTCAACCAGAGATATATCTTATCAGGAGACTCCCAAATTCCAGGTTCAATTTAGAGAACTCGCACCTCCAATTTTCCCTGTCAACTCACATTTAATAATGCAAGACAACAATGGCAAGCTTCCTCAGTGGATCTACAGAGCAAGGAATGTTAGCTGGAAAATACCTTTAGCTCACTGCTTCACATCTTCTGCAATAATACCTGACTTTGAGTCTGTACATTTTAAACTCAACAAAATTAATCTTTAAAATCTGAAAACATCTCAAAGGGCTTTTGAGTGGTCAACATATGTTCATTTTATTTTTTGTTGGGCTAATGAATACTTATTTTCATCCTGTTCATTTGATCATGTAATTATTCTTTTAAATCTATTACCAAATTGTTAAAACACAATTATAGTTATGATTTTAAAGCTTATTTTTTGAAATCCAAACTGAAATATTAATAGATGAAGTGTTATCTGGGATTCTTAGTAGGTGTGGCTCAGTGGGTTGGAGCACTGTCCTCCTGTACACTGAAAGGTCACCTGTTCAATTCCCGATCAGGGCACATGCCCAGGTTGCGGGTTCAATCCCCAGTGGGGGGGGTGTACAGGGGGCATCCGATTGATGTTTCTCTCTTTCTCCCTCTCCCTTCCTCTCTCTCTCAATCAATAAAGGCATGTCCTTGGGTGAGGATTAAAAATAAAATAGCCCAACTGGCCTGGCTCAGTGGATGAGCATCGACCTAGGATCCAGGAGATTGAGGTTTAGTTCCCGGTCAGGGCACATGATGGGGTTGTGGGATCGATCCCCAGTAGGGGGTGTGCAGGAGGCAGCGGATCAATGACTCTCTCATCATTGATGTTTCTTTCTCTCTCTCTCTCCCTCTTCTTTTCTCTGAAATCAATAAAGACATATTTAAAATAATTAAAAAAAAAAAAAAAACCACAGGGGAAGAAGGATGTTGAATTGACCAGAATTGGTTAACTGTTCAGTTGGGAATGAGTACATGGAATTCACTAGTTTTCAAACCTATGCAGAAGTAGATAGACTTTTTTCCGTAATAAAAAGAAATATTTTTATTGTAAAGAAAAGATTTTCTCTACTTACCATCTAATAATTCTAAAGTAACTGTAGGATCCACATATTCCCACCAATGTTTTCCATCAGTTGACACAGGAATCTCCCAATTGGACCATTTGCAAGCCAAATGAATGCATACACATGCTATCACTGTTGGTTTGTACTGAAGACAGAAGGTGGTAAGATGTAGACTGTTGTGGCGTAGGTTTGAAAATGAAGAGCCATAGAAATTCAAATATGTAAAACAAAGAAAAACATTTACCAGTAAGATTAGAGCAAAAACAGAATTACAAAGGTTTTCTTCTGTAAGCCTAGAGTACAAAACCTTATTTTATAAAATTAAAAGTTAACACTATAGTTATATAATTCTAGTACTAAAAAACCTATTAGATTATGAACATTCCCCATACTCTTACTACCCAGAGTATTATATTAATATTTTATTAATACTACTAAGATATTAATGTTTCTAAATTTTGCTTTTACATCTAAATTCAAAGTATTTTTATTTCTTTATAAAAGGAGGGGAAGATATACCTATATACTTCTATTTCCAATAGTCACTATATACAAGTACAACACCTTAAACTTTTTTTGATGGCATTTTTGTTTCTTTTGTAATATCATGGCAAAAAAGTAAAGAAAAAGCAGAGGACTCTTCATAAAAGTGACAAATTTCAACACTGCATTATAAGGGATTCTACCAGTTGATGTGGCTCAGCAAACATAATTCTCAAGTAAGTTAAAGAGAATTTAATACTTATCTATGTAAACCTATGTTTTCTTTTCAATAAAGCCACAGACAAAACTTACCATTTACACAACAGCTTCAAGGTCCACTGTTGCTACATACTACAAAATACTACTTTCTCCTACTATGCTGGGCACGTAACATGTCACAATTAGGCTTTTCTAACCAGTTTTAAATTTAAGTGTTTTCTGCTTTTATTGTTCAGAATTCCTTGGGATAGAGGTTAAATCCCAACAACACGTATCTAAGAAAATACACTGATATTTGCCAATCCAAAAATAAAACTTAACAGTGTTACAAAAAAATTAAGGACCACACAAAGCTGGTTTGGTCCCTTCCCCAATGACCCATTTAAAAAACAAATAATTAATATAATCAATACAGAACAGAATTTTATGTTAGATATCGAAGGCTTTTAAAAACTATTCTTCCACTTCAGTTTCAGAATTGATGAAAATGTTTACTGATCAATCACAACCCACACCACCTTTTATTTATATAAACTGAAAAGGAAGAAGCTTTTTTTAAAAAGTACAAATTGTACTTATGCAAATCCAGGCACTGATAGGAGATGACTACTTCTAATTTACTACTAGTGGGTATTATCTGGAACAAACCCAAGTTATATAAATTTTACTTATTAAAAAAATTTTAATGATTAAAGTTAAGATCGGATAAATGTGAAATTTTAAAAATTGTCATTTAACTATAATTATAAACTAGAAATAGCTTTATACTTACCAAGTTGCTCGAATTTCTACGTTAAGTTTAGCTCTCTGTAATCTTTAGCTGCTATTCAGGCTACCAATTTTAGACTTATGCACTCACAAATCGAGAATATGTCATCAGAAAGCACCACTACACTTCACATTGTGCATTTAACCCCTCTGTGCCCAAAGTCCCTTGTACAATACACCGCAAAGCAGACAGGAAGGTACCACCACAGTAGATGGTCCAGTCTCCTGTTGCAACAAGGGTAAGAGACACATTGAGGGGGCCCTGCATTAAAGGAAGCTATAGTGTGCTACAACAGTGCAACAAAGAGGGTCAGGATAACAACCTGTTGGTAGCCATGAAATAGGATGTCTGTGCCAAATCCTTGCTTGCTGTAAGGAAAAAAAACAAAAACGAAGACAATACTATCAGCTTTAACATGCTACCATTAAAAAATTCTCAACAGAACAAAAACTTCAAAGATGTGTACACAAAAAGTAAATTTTACTTACTACTTACAAATATCACAAGAGCGCCATCATTTTCTATACTACTGAAAATCTTCAACAACATTCACTCAAATGTTTCTTGCTATCCCCCAAAGATCTGAGAAACAAGCCGATTTGCTTTTAGCTAGCCAGTTACAAGGGCTAAACTTGTTACTAAGTTAAGCATCTAGTCAGCTAAAAGTTGCAATAAAGCATTCTCCTGGATTTAAAAAAAAAAAAAAAAAAGAAGAGGAAGAAGAAGAAAAGATTTTGAAGTCTAATACAAAATACAGAGTTGCCTGCCAGACTTAATCCTCAGTCATATTAAATTGGCTAGTACTTCCATCAAAATAAAAGAAAACAAGCCCCCACCCTCCAAACTGAGAGCACAACCGCTCAATTTTTCATCATGCTACTAAAAGCATCAACAGAATAAACAACCTAGAAACATTGTAAGGACATAGATATAGGAAACTCCACTGTGTTTTTTAAAAATTATAGATTCCAATTAATAATAACTTTAGATATGAGTACAGTGCTCTAGAGGGAATCAGGATGCTTCAACATACCCCCCCAACCCCCAAATTGAAATTAAGACACAAATTGAAAACAGCCCGGCCCGTTCTGCTTCTCTCTCTTCCCAGCAGGGATGCCTCTGCTATGGGTGACCTCCTCCAATCACTCTCATCGGCCCTGACATCCCTTTCCCCTTTGCTTCAACTAGGGTCAGTTCCGCTCAACTCACCCCTCTCTAAAAGGCTCCAAATTCTTGCCCCTCCTATTTTTATCTGTAGCACCTGTAATCCCTGCTGCCCATGTGAATCTTTTAAAAAGGGATTTGGGCTTCGCAGAGTCGTGCTAAGGAAGAGTGCAAAGCATGAGCTGTCTTGGAGACAGTGTGACTTAATTATTGCATTTTTTCCATCAGAGAAGTGAAAGGTCAATTCTGCAGCAAAGGAGCATAATACCAGCTTTCTCTTGGGGGGAAAAGGAGGCGGTAAAGGGCTTTAAAGAAGCCGAACCATTTATCCCCTTCAGAAAAGACTCAAAATATGCAGAGAAGAAAATTTTAATTGCATTGCAGTTTTCACCTCAGAATATATCTAAATTCAATAACCCATCACTGTGCAACAGAAGAATGGAGGGAAAATGTTCTTTTGTTAGCTAAAAATTATAATAGAGAAAATAAACCAAACATGAAAGAAAATTTATTAAATAGAGTGAGATACAAACCCTAGTTACTTGAAATGTTAGTCAGACAAAAGGGGGTTAAACATACATAAGATCTGTACTAAAATTTAAGAATCAGTCACATTTTAAACATTAACAAAAAATATTCTAATATTTTGCTTTGGATGATTTATCAAACTTGTAATTTTTGTAAATGTTTTAAAATTTACTATTCAACTTTGCAAATCTATGTTCTTTATGTCTCTAGCTTCTTTAGATATAGGACAACGTACAAAAATATTAATAAAGTAAAAAAGGATTTTTAAAAAGCTAAAACTTCACAATACTAAGCTGAAACTCCAGTTTCAATTCCTACTAAATCAAAGTATTATTTTAACCCATATTAATATCCTCCTTTAATATCTTTTTTCATCAGACTCAATTTAAAACAAATTAAGTGGCTTTCCATTAGTCTGACAAAACAGTTTACCCTTTTCAAGTTTGTAGGAAAACAGAACTACTATCTCAGATTTTTTTTCTTAATTCAACATCTACAAAGTTATCCATACAAATCTATACCACACTGTAATACTGGGGGTGAGAATGTGCTATAAAATATACTCATATAACAACAAAGAACAGGAATTAAGTATGTTCTAGTTTACAAGTGATAATTAATATATGCTATTAGGATAAAAAATATATAAACACCATTTTTAGAGGTCCAGATCTTAACAAAACACTGTGGCATTGTGGTGTCAGATAACAGAGCTTTTTCTTTTCTTTTTTTTAAAATGTAGCCATAACATAATAAAATCCTACCTAGGTATAAAATAAATTCAATTTAGAATGAATAAAATGTGAGAATATTTAGGTAAACACTAAAAAAAACAAAACAAAGCCTTCAAAAGTCTTACCCATTTTGTTTAGAATAATCCTAAAGAAGTCTGGTGGTGAAAGAATGAAACTGCAAAATTTAATTTTCAAAATGGAAGTAAGAGAAAAAGGCAAACTAAAGATTCCAAGAGGTTGTTACTAGTATGTAACACTTCTAATGGGAAACAAGAAAATAGAAGTAGTAGTATAACAACATGCAACTGTGTAAGAAATATTTGTAGGAATACAGCAGGTATATAGGATTCATTAACAAGAATAGAAAAATGTGTACCACATGCTTTAAAGCAGTAAAGCAGAAAATACAAAAGCTTCCTACTCCTGTTTATAAAAGGTGTAACAGCCACAGCATACACCATGTATCAAGCTGTATAAATAATTCCTCATTATACACAAAAAGGAAACCATTTTTAGTAATACTAAAGAACTGTGAAAAATATATAAAACCAATTTTGTTCAAATGAACACGGGCAAAACATTCGCAAACATGGCAAATCTGCAAAGAAAGGCAATTTTTATAGAATAAAATCTGAGGTTGACTTGCAAATTCTTATACTGTAATCTTTTCAAGAAGTCAGTGAAAATTTCTGACATAAATAAAAAATTTTTACTATTTTCTGCACCCATGTATTAACGGCCTCCATCTTAAATATCAACTGAAATCGGACAGGCATAGCCCAATGGGGAGGTAGACAGAGTCCTAATATTGGGAAGCCCTCCAACTTTTCAGTGAAATGAGACTTGCTGAAGTGGAAGTGTAAAGGAAGCTAATTGACTGGGAGAACCACAAATAGAAGTAGATGAAGAGGAAGATATGGAACACTGAAAAGTAATGCTTCAAAATGACATTTCCCTTATTTTAATAAAATTCAAGAAAAGGCTGTAAGAACAAAATAGCATTCAAATCAATTATAGACAATAAAAATCATTACTACTGTACTTAATTTAAAAGTTTCAAAGATCACTTACCTCTTACTAACTGGGTACATTTCACCACATCTGTGTGTGGGTGTTCAATGGTGATCTCAAAACCTGAAAAGAAAAGCACTTTTTTCCCCAATCACTTACCACTACAATACTTGCCTGAGATATGCCACTCACCACACAACCATAAATGTGTAATATATTTTTCACTATTAAAAAAACCCAAAGACAATGTTTCTTATCACTGACATGATTATTACACTTCTGATAAGAAATCATTTCTTCTTAAGGACAATGTTCCAATTATGAAAATTGATTATCAAAATTATTTGTAGATCAGGGGGTAATATTCATTGAAAATTCTGAATTACAATTAGTTTGAAATAATCCTCATGTTAAAAACAAACTAAAATCATCACAAATACAATTATTATTAAGCTTGCGCCTCAGGTTAAGCAGGGAATTCAATATGTAATATACCCTCCCCCTACTGAATTTACTGGGGTTCTTCAGTGTATTCCAACTCTTTTAGAAGATGTGAAAAGAACATTTTTCATAAATATAACCTTTGAGCTCAGTGTAAGAAATGACCTTTTAAATAACATAGTGTTGTTATTTTCTTAGTGTGCCTTAGATCAAAGGGTTTCAGCCACTTAGCTGACAACTACGTTTCATTAATAAAATTGTTAAGGTAAGTACACCTTGTAGGCCTCATGATTCATTAAATCACTTTCTAAAACCAAAGATAAAATGTAGAAAAGCTTTCAATGTTCAATCAACCCTTAAGTAGGGCAGGGCTCTTCCTTTTTTAAAAAGTCGAGGTCGGTCGCATCTAATGCCTTCAAAGCAGTAAGTGAATAATATCCTAACGAACAGGTAATCTGGATTTACAAAGTTACTATATGGTCTATTTATATTTCTACTGTAATAAAACCTGCAATATCATACTTTAATGAAAGTCAAAGAGGTATTTCTTATAAATTCTTATGCTCCCCTTAAATGCTATTCATTCTCAGTGCTTAAGAATCTGTCATAAACAATGCAAATAACACAATAACTTTAAATAATATAACTCTGTATTATTTTAAAATAATATAATCTTTTCAACTTTCACTATTTATTTATTTATAAGTTTTCATAATTATGTAATTTTATATAATAAAACAATAACATTTACATTACAGGATTTGGAGGGAATGAGAAGATTCTCACTTTTATTTTTGTATCTTTTTATAATATAAAAACTTCAAACAAGTGATATACATTTCAAACAAGCTACTTTTGTAATAAAAAGAATCTGTCATTATGAGAAGCGGTGATTACCAATTCTATTCAACATTTGGGAATGGAATAATAAATAAAAAATAACTACCATAATAATGATTATTTATGATATACACACTATGTAGCAATATTTTTTATATATCTTTCATCTTCAGATTCACAATGTTACGGCAGGCATTATTATTATACCTTGCATATATAGAATGGAGGTATAAAAAGTCAAGTGGGGAACTTTGCCCAAGTTTACTAAGCAAGTCAGAGGCCTACAGATTTAAACCCAGATCTCCATACAGACAATGTTCTTCTAGAAGTAACACATGACTTTACACAAGTAAAAACTGCCTTCAGCCTCAATTTCCTCATAGTAAAGTGAAACCTAAGAGTAGATGATCTTTAGAAATCACTTAAGTTGCATGAACTTTGCAGACAATGTAACTTTTAGAAAAGGATTTCAACATTTAATTAACTATTATGTCACATTAAAAATGATCTAAATTCATTAAACACTGACTATAAGCCCTAGGAGAACAAGAACTGCCATGTATGTTTGTACACATTACAATCAGATGCAACAGCTCGAGAGAGTATTTCCTTCTCCAATGCAAACCCAGAATGAAGCAGTGTCTTAACCGTCTGAAAACATTAAAATCTCACCCAAGGTTGTTTATGTCAAATGAAATTTAATTTTTAAAAATGGTTTCCTTATAACCAGCCAGCAGTATTCTGCCCAACTTTGTTTTAAAATGAAATTTTCATCAAAGATAAAATTACTCCAGCCCGGCCGGGCGTGGCTCAGCGGTTGAGCATCGACCTAGGATCCAGGAGATTGGGGTTCGATTCCCGGTTGCGGGCTAGGCAGCCAATCAATGACTCTCTCGTCATTGATGTTTCTCTCTCTCTCTCTCTCCCCCCCTTTCCTCTCTCTGAAATCAATAAAGATATGTTTAAAAAAAAAGACAAAATTACTCCAGAAATTTTCCTTTATTTAGAACGCAGCAGGTCCTCGAATAATGTTATTTCATTCAACATCATGTGTTATACCATAGGAACTTAACTCTTGTTTTTATCAGTTAGGCCAAGTAAACCGGTTTTGTTATATGTTGTTTCACTCAGTCGCGAAACCAAGTGATGACATTAAATAAGAACTTATTGTACTGCACTGAAGAACAAACAAAAATATATGATGTAAGTACATACCTAGGGTTTGTAGCATTATGGTTTCAAGTAAAACCAATTCTTGAGTTTGTTGAAGGTAAGCCTGCAGGTAAAAATAGTAATATTAAAATGCTTAAGATAAACATAACACTACTAGATGATGGGACCGTTAAATTTCATGAGAGTTACAGATTGATTACAAAAGAACCATAGTAGTTTATAAATACAAAGGAAAGAAATTGAGGGAGATAGAAAAACCTATATTCTGTGACAAGTCTAAATTGAATTACTTCTATATACGAAATGTATACAAAGCAAAACCCCCCCAAAACAACCTAAGGATAATGATAATATGAAAGGGGGTGGGCTAATTGGAACAAAAGAGATCTCCAGTCTGTAATGTAAAACTTGACCTAGGTATTACTGGTGCTTCAAGACATTAAGGACAGGAAGCACCAGCCCAAGTAAGAACACCAAATTCAAAGCCACCTTTAAGGAAAAGACTTATCAACTTAATTTAATATACTTCATGTGGTAATTTCTTGACAGTGACAGTGAGTGAGTTACTTTTACAATTAACTCCCTCTCTTCAAAAAAGACAAAATAAAATCAAAACAAGTTGTATAATCTCTAGATTAAAAGAAAAAATTTTAGATATAAAATACCAAAATAATGTTTCACCCAACAACAATAAATTATTCACCTATTGCAATTACTCTGGAAATAAAGGGTATGAAACATTATCTGCCATCTCATTCTTAGATCATGACAACTGACTAAGATGATAAGAAAACAATATATATCAGTATTCATTTATGTAAGAACATATTGCTAAACCCAGAGAGTGAAAGCACCTTTAATTTTATTTACGCCCCATTTTGAAAAGGTCACTGAGCTGATTTCTAAAACACAGATTTCTATTATTTGAACAATATAAGTAACCAAAAGAAATAATCCTGAATTTGTAAAATTAGTAGACACTACTAACTCTAAATAGTTCTTATTTTTGAATACACACATTCTCTACTATTGAAATGGCTACATGAATATTTTACTTCCTTAACAACATCTAGGATAAAACGTGCCATTAATAAAATCAGATATACTTAACTGGACCTTAAACTTGATCCAAATCAAACTGAATTAATATAGATCTGGAGTCATTCTGTAGGTAAAAGTTCCTGACAGAGTAACTCACCTATAACAAGAGTGCTAGAAAAATGATTTTAAAAGCCCAGAATTCTTGCCTGTTTTAAGATATCAGAAAAATTTTAAATGATGCTTTCAAATAAGGTCTATTAAAACGATGATGAACAAGTTTGTTTGGAAACTAGCATTACTCTTTAGAAAAATTAAAATATTTTTTAAAAGTGCACTCATGAAAGCATGGTAAAATGTACCTTTATGTATCAGAGAGATTAGTTAGTACTATATATGCATTAAATAAACAATTCTGTAAAAAGACTAATTATTGATCTGGAGGTAAATCCAGAGCTTTTCCTATTCTTTCATTTGCTGACAATTTATTTATCTCTGACCTTGAACACACCCAAACAATGGAGGTGAAATGATTTACCCTTTACATGTATCACAGGTTTGCTATGAGGATAAACAACAAAAAGTGAAACACTTAAAAAGCACCTTACAAAATTCAGAATGACAGTATAATTCATGAACATACATGAAATGTTTCTGCCAGATTGCTTCCTGCCATTACATTCCTAAGTGGTAATAGGAATAAACAGCATTTGAATGCAACACTAATTGAATTATATTTTTATTAGGTATATAAATAATGAAAAGATTCCAACTTTACAAAGAAAACCCCCAAAACCCAATTTTTACATACATCACACTTAGTATCCAGCAGTGGCTCTAAGGGATGAAGACAAGCATGTGCTACTTTGATAACATGTTCAAGTTTTCGAGCCTGTTCTTCCACTTTTGCCGCCAAAAATAACGCGGTAGGTGATATTATCTGCAGGAAAGAAAAAAGTTGGTGATTTAAAAACAAACAAATTTTGGAAAAGCTTACTTTCTAAAGGGGAGGGATGTGCAAAGAAGAAATGCAATATTAAAAGTATGAATTGCTAGCTGGGCTATGAAAAAATTGATGTTAAAAGTTTTAATAAAGTTATTCATTAAATAGAACTAGTACCCCTAACTGATAAAATCTGTTTTACTTCTTTTGCAGATAGAATACTAAAGGGAAAAAGGAAAAGTCTTATACTTTACCTAACAGAAAGTTAGGTAAATAATAATATTAATGCACATTGTGAAGGAAAAGGGGAAAAGACCCCTCAAGACAAGAAATGAAGCCACAGCTTTAAAAAAAGATGAAAAAACTGGGTAATGTATATCCAGATTTTCCTTCCTTTAGGGCAGTCACCAATTTGTAGGGTTTTCTCAATCAATGATTCATTGTGCGGCTAAGAGCTACACAATCTTGCTTAACACCTTGCTAACCAGTAAGGAGTACACGCGTGCTTCAGTGTCAGAAAGCTGCTGACTGGTCACGAGATAACTTGTGTCTGCACTTACATTAATTTCAGTAATTTTAAACACCTTGCTGACCAAAGTAGCCAGGCACACGGGCTAGGTCTGGCTCAAAATAGCCAGTCAGCAAAGTGACAGAAAAATGATCTACAAGGCAAAATGAGGATTCTGCCCATGAAACTGCTACTTGATCTCTATTACTTTACTAACACCATTAAAAGTAGCACAAAAAACAGGAAATAAACATGTAAGACAAACCAACAGAGTAGAAACATTGCCAATTGGAGATCAAGAAATTAGCAATTTTTAAAGCATTACTGAGTTATATTCTTTGGATTAAAGTATAAGAACATAGCACTAACAATGACATTGACTAAAAAGAGAAACACCAATTTTGAACATATATTTACCCCTGAAGTTACTAATAAACCAAATAACTGCTGACTCAGAAAATGGGCATATTTAATAACATTCTAAGGTTACATATGAGAAATATAGTAATGGAAGGAGGCTAGACTTTGGATGGTGAGCACACAATGGAGTATACAGATATTGCACTATAAAGTTGTACACCTGAAATTTATATGAAGTTATTAACCAATGTTACCCCAATAAATTTAATTTAAAAAAAGGAATATCTTATGAAAAGAGAATTTCTAAATGTCAAGATTCAGATACATTATTTTTCAAGAGGTAAACATCTCAGTCTCACTGTACTTTGGAGGTCATCAATCACTATACAAAAACATCAAAAGAGGGAGGGGAAGAGAGAGAAGCATAAATCATGCTATATGATTGGGCAGGTAATAAAAGGAGAGAATTTCTGATACAGGGAAGGTGGAGCCTTTATATCATTGCAGAGACATGAAATTTAATTGCTGAATTTTGGATATGAAAAGGACCTTCTCTATTCCAAATGCATTTGCAGATTAGTAAATGAGTAAAAATGACTAGAAGTTTTCTTCCTGGTGTATAAATCTTTAAAACAGACCTAAAATTAAGTGAGTTTGGCTCCAAACAACCAGAAATAATGTTATCTTAAAAGGACTGAATAATTTCAACTTGAACTTTCAAATTATTTCCATCTTTTAAAATTATTGCAACAAAAAATATTTTTAAATTGAGAATGCTCTAAAAAACAATGTATTCTTAGTTTTCATAAACTTAGAATAAACTACTGTTATTATTCTTTACAACAAATTTAATTAACCAACATCAAAATTACTTAATATTCTTGAAATGCTAGTTAAATAGCAGTCACCAGGGCAGGGGGCAGAGATGGTGGTGGTGGTGTTTCTGAGATGTAGAAAATGTAAGATAACTGAGATTGGACAATTATTCCTATCTGTTACTTTTCCCCACTTCCTACCACTGTTACCCAATTTAATTCCTTTTCTATTTAAAGGCTTAACTCAAAAGAGCATCTCCTTTCAAAGTAAAATTTCTGAGTCACAGTGTAGTACCCTTCTTTAGTCAATGAAAAATTGTGCATACCTCTATCATTGTATACTTATACTGCATTCTAACTTCTGGTTTATTAATCTTGTCTGTCCTCCAGTCTAGAAGCAGCTTGAACACAGAGACTGAATTATTCATTCATGTTCCCATTATCTAGCATTGTGCAGCTGCTGTTCAATATATTTGAATGAATAACATGTGGATAATCTATATATAAATATAAAGGCACCAATATTAAATTCAAAGTATTCCAAATGCCACAGTAAAAATCTAAGAACCAATACCAAGGTAAGAAATACAAGAAACAGGACATGGACAATGGGAGAGGGACTGGGGAGGGGAGTGGGATGGGGTGGAGTGGGTCACTGGGGAGAAAAAGGAAAATCTGTAATATTTTAAACAAAAATAAATAAATAAATAAATAAATAAATAAATAAATAAATAAATAAATAAATAAATAAATAAAAGAAACACCCAATAAAATGAAGAGTTTCCCATAACCTCTCACTTATCTTATTCACGTCTAAGAGGGGAGTGGCTAAGCCAGCCTTCAAATGCTACAACTATCCATCTAGGAGTGAAGCAACCGAGGGACAAGTCAAAGTCAAATCAGACTGAACTTAGTTAGATATCCGGGAGCTAAGCAATGATTTTCAGGGTAGATTCCTGTGTAGTTACCGACACTCCTCACAGAAA